GATCGTTGTTAGCAAAAAAATAAAGAACTACTCGACAAGTAGAGATCTATTCAACCTTAAGAATATTTCCTTGTCCTCTCTCTCCCTCTCTCTGCCTCTCTCCCTCCCTCTCTCTCTCTCTCTATCTATCTATTTACCTCCCTCTTTCTATTTCATTATATAAACATTAAAGTGCAATTCAATTTCTTATAATTTACCCTTATTCCTTTATTTCATTCAAACCTTTCTTTTTTCTTTTTTCCACCTCTCAATTTAACAATCCGGTTTCCGTTCTCATATAGAAGAGAAAAAAAAAAAACAGAAAACTGTTTTTTTCCGGATGAACGAACAGGAAAATATAAAAGTAAAACGGATCAGTAGCAATTATTCAACTCTTTAAGTACTTTTTCCCATCATATCGAGGAGAAAAGAAGTGAACTGTTGCTGAAATGCATTATTGTCCTCAAATTGATATATTCCCAATAAGCGGGCAAATGATTATTTCTTGCCCTTCATTCATTTTTTTCAGTTATTGAAATTATTCACTCATAAATTAATCCTTTATTTGAAGAAAAATCATTTATATTATCTGATATTAACTGAAAGATTGGGTAGGTAGGTGCTAGTAATATCGTACAGTACCCTTTTGCCGGAAATGGGTAGGTAAATCAAGATATAACTAATGGGTATATCTTTGATTTTATCTTACATTGTAAAGCATCTAATTTAATAATAATAAGATGTTAATGATTTAACTTATACACCTAAAAAAATTAAGGCAAAAATATCAAAAATGAAATTAATTTTAATTTTGCCCAAATTATAGTTATCATCAATCACTTTTGGGTATGTCTTTTGGGTAGAATAAAAATTTTAAAAATTTTGTTAGCTTTAAAAAGTATGCAATTGTTCATTTCATCCTAACGTCTATCATTCATTTGCTAGAATTATCGGGAAATTTGATCAGTTTCTTTTGATCAGTAACTGATAAAGGAATTTGACCAAGGCATTATTGCTATTTTGCTTTATCCTAAATCTCACAAAAATAAAAATATATCTTAATTATTAATCATAGAGATAAATCTTACCTTAATTATTAATTATAGAGATAAAATCATATCTTAATTATTAATTATAGTGATAAAATCATATCTTAATTATTAATTATAGTGATAAAATCATATCTTAATTATTAATTATAGTGATAAAATCATATCTTAATTATTAATTATAGTGATAAAATCATATCTTAATTATTAATTATAGAGATAAAATCATATCTTAATTATTAATCATAGAGATAAATCTTACCTTAATTATTAATTATAGAGATAAAATCATATCTTAATTATTAATTATAGTGATAAAATCATATCTTAATTATTAATTATAGTGATAAAATCATATCTTAATTATTAATTATAGTGATAAAATCATATCTTAATTATTAATTATAGAGATAAAATCATATCTTAATTATTAATTATAGAGATAAAATCATATCTTAATTATTAATCATAGAGATAAATGTTACCTTAATTATTAATTATAGAGATAAAATCATATCTTAATTATTAATTATAGTGATAAAATCATATCTCAATTATTAATTATAGAGATAAATCTTACTTTAATTATTAATTATAGAGATAAAATCATATCTTAATTATTAATTATAGCGATAAAATCATATCTTAATTATTAATTATAGAGATAAAATCATATCTTAATTATTAATTATAGTGATAAAATCATATCTTAATTATTAATTATAGTGATAAAATCATATCTTAATTATTAATTATAGAGATAAAATCATATCTTAATTATTAATTATAGAGATAAAATCATATCTTAATTATTAATTATAGAGATAAAATCATATCTTAATTATTAATTATAGTGATAAAATCATATCTTAATTATTAATTATAGTGATAAAATCATATCTTAATTATTAATTATAGAGATAAAATCATATCTTAATTATTAATTATAGAGATAAAATCATATCTTAATTATTAATTATAGTGATAAAATCATATCTTAATTATTAATTATAGTGATAAAATCATATCTTAATTATTAATTATAGAGATAAAATCATATCTTGATTATTAATTATAGAGATAAAATCATATCTTAATTATTAATTATAGTGATAAAATCATATCTTAATTATTAATTATAGTGATAAAATCATATCTTAATTATTAATTATAGAGATAAAATCATATCTTAATTATTAATTATAGAGATAAAATCATATCTTAATTATTAATCATAGAGATAAAATCATATCTTAATTATTAATTATAGAGATAAAATCATATCTTAATTATTAATTATAGAGATAAAATCATATCTTAATTATTAATTATAGAGATAAAATCATATCTTAATTATTAGTTGTAGAGATAAAATCATATCTTAATTATTAATTATAGTGATAAAATCATATCTTAATTATTAATTATAGAGATAAAATCATATCTTAATTATTAATTATAGAGATAAAATCATATCTTAATTATTAATTATAGAGATAAAATCATATCTTAATTATTAATTGTAGAGATAAAATTATATCTTAATCATTCATTATAGAGATAAAACCATATCTTATTTATTAATTATAGAGATAAAATTATATCTTGATAAACTACATCTTAATCATTATCTTAATCATTCGTAGGGATAAAACTATATCTTAATTATTAATCATTAAAGATTAGTTTCAAGTTTCAATTCTTTTTTTTTTTTTAAAAAAATTCAATTTTTTAAGTACAGCTGAATAAAACGGAATAATCGAATAATTATTTCAGGAAATCAATCTACAAATTTTATTTTAATCTGCAACTGATAAACGAATTTAATAACTAATAGAGGAATTAGTAGAGAATAATAGATGGATTTTACTATAATGCAAGTAAGGTAATCAAATTGTTATTATTTTTTTTTTTTTTTGAAAAAATAATTGGAATAATTTATCAGAATTATTCTGGTTGGAATGAAATTTGAAAAGTAAAAAAGAATAAATAAAAATATATTTTTCTTCTTTCTTTGTAATTTCATTTTAGAATTGATATTAATAAAATTAAACTTTTACTGAAAGAAAGAATTTCTTCCTTTTTTTTTTTGAGTTTTTATCAAATTTATTTTTATTAATTTAAAATTTAACTTGTAGATTTGAAAATTGACATTTTCCGTTATCGGATAAATTATGAAAAAATTATTGCCATATGATATGAATGCATTTAAATTCATTTTCAATTCATTTCAACATTGAATGAACATTTTGTTTTCCTATTTTATTCTATTTTTTATTAAAATCAGTTTCATATTCGGTTATTCCGTTTTTTTTTTTTTTTGTAATTTATTATAATTTAATAAAAATCAATAAGATATCATTTATACTATGCCAACAATGTTTGAATAAAAATTTTAAATTGTGCATCGTCAAAAGAAAAACAAATAATTAACAAAGGCAATTAAGCTAATAATTTTAGCTTATCAAAATGTTTGTCAACAAATATTTCCGGAATCATTCTGCCTTATTTCATTTCATCTTATCAACCGGAATCTTTGCATGCACCTTCTTATCGCCTTTATTTCTCTTTAATTTATCTCAACGGATTTATCTTCAAAATGATAATTGCTGTTAAGCAGTAAGCTTTTTTTAAGTTGAATTTTTCATCATTTATGCTTGACCTTTGACTCTTTACAATGCAAGCATTATAATAACGAAATTGGGTGGAAGATTTAAATTTAGAGTTAAATTTTGCTCCAACAGCACACAGAAATGCTAATTAATGAATTCTTCAGTTAGCACTACCAATTACAAATTAACCAGTTTTTTTTTTTTTTTTTTTCATAGGTAACTTACCAGGAAATAACCGATGGGTAAACTATAAACTATAATTTTCTTATTTTTCACACTTTTATTTTAGATATACTCGTTCGCTTCTGAACTTTTCAAGCTATCATAGTTATCTTTATTCGTATTCCATTACGGTTTAAAAAGTTTGATTAAATGAAGAATTTTGAAAGAAAAAATTTTAGACAAAAATGAGACTTTAAAAAAATAATCAATGAATTTTAGCATAATTAATCTGCTAAATACTACTCTTATAAATGATATATTATAAACAAAATTATAAACTATAAAATCTATTAATTTTTATGGAGCGCAATTTGTATCTGAAAAATTGTATCATTCTTAAGTACTACTTAAGCAATCTAACATCTCTAATAGCTAATGTTTGACTATGAAAAAAAATGCAATTCTATTATAATTAGAATTTTAATTAATGCAAATTTTGAAATTATTGTTGGATGTGAAATGTGAGATAAAGCAAAGTGATGATGTAATTCGAATATATCATTTAAGTATGTCAAATAATAATAGAATAAGGGAAATGAAATAATGAAGAATTCAAGTTGATGTCATTCAATGGTGACATTTTTTAGGAAGAATAAAGAATTTGCGAAAAGTAGACAGCACGTTAGTAATAATAATAATAATGTTTAATAATGACTGTAAATTAATAAGTAATAATACACAATAATAGTAAATAAGTAAATAAATAATAATAATAATGGTAGTAATAATAAATAATAAATAAATGAATAAATAACAAGTAAATAAATAATAATACATAATAATAGTAAATAAATAAATAATAATAATAAATATACATACATATATATAGTGGCAGTAAATAAATATTAATAATAAATATGATGATGATAATAATAATAAATAAATAAATAAATAACAAGTAAATAAATAAACATAAAATAGTGATAAAAAAATATTAATAACAAATAATAATAACAAATAAATAAAATGATAAATAATAACAAAAAAAATAAATGAGCTTTTTGCATATTTTACAACCTATTGACATAATCATTCTAAAATACGCAAATTAAACTTAAAAAAAAAAAAAAGAAAAACTAGTGTATAAGGAATATAAATGAAATCAGTAATTTCATTTAATGGAATTTTGAAATTTGCGATGCGGTCGGTAACCATAACAATATTTATTCTTATAAATATAATCAAACAGAACTTTGGCATTCTTAGCGATTTTCACAATTGGCAATTTGATATTCCAATAAACTTTTCAAAGCATCAGGTGCATATTTTGAAATGCTAATGAATTAAAATGTGAATGGCAGAAATTTTGTAAACAATCAGAAATTCTGTAAATTTTATCTGTCAATTTTATTTGCTTTAATCATTCAATATTGAATAGAAAGCTATCTTTTATGATTTTTTTGCTACTTTTTTTTTTTTTTTTTCTACATTTAGCGAATGCTTTCGTATTTATTGAAATATTAAAATGGAAATACTAAAATACTGAAATACTAAAATTAAAACATCCATTTATCTGTTAATTTTATTGAAATATTAACGAAAAAAACTTTTAATAACAAAATTATAAGTACTTGGGGACAAACTCATTAAGCATAAACTCATTAAGCAAACTCATTAAGCATAAACCATACCATTATGTTGTAAATCTAAATGTTTATGATTTTTTTAAAAACTTTAAAATTTTTTTTACAAAAAAAAAAATTTAAAAGGTAATAATTAATTTTAGTATGACGGAATGTGTACATCAATTGTAAGTCAATGCATCGGAAGTATTAAAATGATCAATTTTACTTCATCAACAACAATTCATTTGCATATTTCCACTGTAATATAACTTTCTTCAATTTAAATTTAAATTTAAATTAAGCAATCATTCGAAATTCCTTTTTTTTTTCTCTTTGAAAACGATTCTTATCTGATTTAAAAGATGCATTCTATAAATTAATTTTTTTTTTTGTCAAAAAATGACATGAATCTAATTGATTGTATCTATAATCAAAATTATGTAAGAATTTTTTTTGAAAAGATATGATTGAGAAAAAAAAAAGGTAATTTTTCAGAATTAATTTTATTAGAAAAACTCCTTAAATATCATATTAAGAGAAAAAAATAATAAAATTAAAAATAATTTACTTCCTTTCATTTATTTATAGAGCAGTGATTGGGAATGTTTAGGACGAATTAGTAAATGCTTCTTAAATGCTCAATTAAGCTTATCATCTATGCCACATGCGCTTATTGTTAGCGCCAAAAATCCGAATGCTTATGTATGATCTTATCAACAAATGCCATAAAATTTCTTCTATGTATGATCTTATCAATCAATAAAACTCATCAAAATCATTTATCAATTTTTTTTATCACTTATTTCGTTTATTTTGATATTTCAATTCATAAATACTTTGTTAATTATTAAAAAAAAAAAAAAAAAAATTAATTAAATAAATTCATTTTAGATTGGATGGTATTGTATGGTGCAACAAGCATTTATAGCTAAAAATTATCATATCAAAGTTTTCATTCAAAATTGCTCACAAAATAGATTGAATGAATCTATCAAATCAAACAATGATAAAGTATTTCACTATAAACCTATGAGTAAACTTTTTATCTATACAAAAAAAAAAAAAAATTTGAAAATGCAATAAATTTAAAATATTATCAAAATTGCAAATTTTTTTTTCTTTTTTCAGGAACTTTTCAAATTTATACAACACATAAATTTGTATATTTTACTGTTATTGTTGCTATCACAGCATATACTCTTATTGTTTATTTGATATTTTGCATAATATTAGCACAATATGAAAGTTTGTTTTCATTTTTATTTATTTATTTTTTTGCTGTAAGAATCATCGAAATTAATTAAATGAAAGAAAAGTTAGGTATATACAGGTAAAGATGAAGTAAATAAGAAAGAAATAAAATAGATACATAAATTATATATATGCAAAACAGGTAATACTGAAAAATGTTAAAAATTTAGATTTATTATTATCATAAATTATATTAATAATTTTTTTAAAAAAAAAAGCAAAAAAAAAGGCCAAAGCTAAGGATTGCAAATTCTTTACTGTGAATAGAAATTGAAAGTTATTTAAAGAAATTTATTTATTTTTTTTTTTAACTTTAAGAAAAAAAAGTTATTTTAAGAAAACTTTAATGTTATTTAAAGAAATTAAGCAATGATAGATTGCAGAAGAAATTGAATCTTATGAACAATCGCCTCAAAGAAAAATAAAACAATGGGTAAATTTTTTGAAATTAAAGAAGCAAATACAACTAAAGTGATACTTCCTAAGGTTAATGTAAGTACAAGATTGTAAGTAATGTAAGTACGAGATGAAACTTAATAATATACGTACAGTACTTAATAATATAAGTAATGTAAGTATAATGTAGGTAGTTCTTGATAAGTATAAGATAATGTAAGTAAGAAATTAATATAAGTATGAAATAATATAAGTAATGTAACTATAATGTAGTTAAGTATGTGATAAGTATAAGATAATGTAAGTAAGAAAATATTTAAACAAAGTAATCATAATTTAATATTTATAATAATAAATAATTAAAATAATAATATTTAGAAAAAATAACTGAAATATTTCTTATAAATCTTATCAAATATATTAACTGATATGATAGGATTATATTTATGTAAAAAATAAATATAATAATGCAAGTTTATTCTTCAAAAATTATTTATATGTATTTCAGTTTTACAATTAATTTTATTTCATTTCTTTTTGTTCTCTTCTTCATCAGCTGTTAGAAATATTAAAATGCAAAAATTTGTAAAAAACAAAAAAACAAAAATTATTTCAAACAATTTTAAATTTTTTAATTAAATTTAATAAAAATAATGCTAGGCATTTAAAAGATGAATGGCAGATTTAGTGAAAGATGAACTAATCATATAATTTTTAAATCTTAATTTTAATTATGTAATAGTGCTGATGCTACAGTTCAATCTCAAGATCAAGAAATAGCAAATTGGTCGGAAAAATTTCATCGCATAAAAAATTTGATTTCAGCAAATAAATTCGAGAAATCATTCAAATTTTACTGAACATTCAAGCCCAACAACAATAACATCTATGAAAAGAAGTGAAACAGATCAAAGATTTGATTGTTCATTGCGGAACCCATTAAAATGGTATTTTGAAAAATGGAGTAGAAAGAAAAGAGCGCCCGAAAAAAGAGCAAAGGTAAACTTCAAAAGATAACGCGAACATTCTTTGTATATAATTTCATCTTAGATTTAAAAAGTTATTATCCTCTGATTTATTATCATCCATTATTATTATTATTTTATTTTATTTGTTCAATTCCTTTTATCTATCGCATTTTTAAAATACAAAAATAAATTCATTAAATTTTTTTTTTTTTTAAATTAATTAGAAATTTAAGCTTTACATAGCATATAGTACAGATAGATGCAAAAAATTAAAAGAAAAATATTTATCAGTCTATTAGGAAAATATAGCGAAATAGTATTTTCAAGGAAAGTGAATCATCAACAAGGTCAACTTCTCCGGCAAGACAACAAATATCGTCGATGAATTTTTCAACTTCAATTTCAAATTCTCAAACTGGAACAAATGATAGAAGCGCAAATGAATTAGCGCAAGAAATTATGCAGAAAATGCGAAAACATAAAAGTTTTTCTCAATCTACTAGTAAAATTAAGCAATCAAAAACACAAACTGAAATTTCAAAATGGAAAGTATCGCTTAATCAAGAATTATCAAATTTTTCACTTTCCAAAATTAAACCATCACCTCGGCCAATGATCGTTCAGATTGTTCATAATATTCCAAATAATGTAGCAATTACATCAAGACAGATACGTTCACTTCCAATTTTAACAGCAATTAAATTTACAAGACAAGAAGCAAAAGAGCCAAGAGCCAAGACTACAAGGCAACAATGAGGCAAGTTTTATGTTTTTTTTTTTTTTTTTAACTCTAGCAAAAGGAGGAAAAAAAAAATTTTTAATAGCTAACTCTGAAATATTGTGAGATTTGTCGAAGGAATTGTCATAATGAAATGATGACAGAGAAACGGTGATGAATTATGACATAGCATAAAAATTGACAAGTGTTTCCATCTCAATTTTTATCGGAAAATTCATTTCCTGTTTTTTTTTTTTTTTTAATTATAGCAAATTTTAGCCGCGATAATCATATATGTCAACAACAAAAAAAAAAAAAAAAAGGTGACCACTAGAAATGAAATCATTCGAGGAATGCAAAAAATAGACCAAAGCGAAAAACATTCTTTTATTTTCCAAATTTATTCTTTTTTTTTTCTCTCTCTCTCTCTCTCTGTTTTTCTATCAAACTCATTATAACATTGTTGTTAAATAAAAAATGTAAAAATGATGAAATTTGTAATTTGAGAAATTTTGAAAAAGTTATTGTTGATAAAATTTCAATCAACTATATGTATCGATTAAGTAGCAAATTTGTTAGGTTTAACTTTTTCTTTTCTTTTTTTTTTTTTTTTTTTTAAAAAAAAAATTTATTATTATAATGAAGATTGATGGATGGAAATCTTTAATTGATTTTTTTTTTTTTTAATTTTATTTTATTAACAATAGTTACACAGACAGCAACAATAAATGACAAAGTCAATGATACAATCAGTCAATTAATTTATCACAAAAGACACACTGACTTAGCATAATAGTAGTACTGATCCCGTGTTCGAAGTAATGAAAGCATTCACTTCAATCATACATTTTAAAAGTTTTTGGAACTCCTACAAAATAGTACATATGAAAAGAGTAGTCATAACAATTCCTCTATGGATTTTAAATATTAAAATTTCTCAAAAAAAAAAAAGAACTACTCTTTATCTAATAATCCTTCCATATAACAATAAATTATTATTTGAAATTGATAAGATTTATTCAGAAACAATATTTCTCAAAAAATAATCAATTAAACAGCTTGATTTTTTTTTTTTTTTAAGTTTCCAACTGCTTCCAATTGGAGTTTTAACATTAAGCTAATAGAAGGTAACAGAGAAGTAATGATATTTCATTCCCAGATTACCATTCAGATATGATGAGCAACGAAGGAACAAATTTTGAAATGATGAATCATAAACTGCATATGAACAGAGTAGGAATGAAAAAGTATCAAGCAGCACCCGTATCAAAAAACAAAATATACATCCATCTTCAAAAATCCAAAATTTAAATTCATATGTTACTAAAGCTAAATGTCCCGGTAAAAAGAAAAAACCAATACACTTAAAATAAAGGTTTATGTTTTTGACTGTGATGCGAAGATACATTAAAATACAAGTGAAAAGATAGCCGATTCTTTCAAATAAACAAATAAAACAATATACTGTTAGTTGTCTGATTAAATAATAAATAGTACGATTTATATTTTGAAGATAGAAGATAGAATGTTCGAGAAGCATGTTTAGACCTAAAAACTTGATGATTTTAATGATGAAAGATAATATTAATAAACCTGAAGGAGTAATAGCTGCTGCCCCGAATCCAATTTAAAGCAATAGAATGCTAACTGTAGATAGCCTGGAAGGCTGAGAAAGGACAGCTCAATATATGAATACTCTTTTGTTTTGTTCAGAATTTCTAATTCATTGAATTTCAATTCATAAATTACATTCATTTTGATCCCAAATAATGTGAGATTACTGAAATTACTGACTCACTTTCTGCTATTAAAAATAAGAACATTTCCGAATGTAGAAAAAAGAAACTAATCAAGTTTATTTCAGATAATATCTACCTCTAGTCCTAATCAAACGATTAATCTGGAAAACATCGTTCTCCAACAGAATTTATAAATGTTCATAAATAAAAAAAAAATAATTAGAAATAATCTTAGCAGCTATAGCATCAACATAGAGTAAACCTATTGTAGCACGAGACCAATCTTCTCCGGTATGATATCAGGACACTTCCAGTTATACAGATAATATTGTAAATTTCCATCACCAATACCAAACTTGAGATCTTCCAATATTTCTTTGTTATCCATGAGATCAAGTGCGTTAAACACATCAAAACCACACTATAAAATACAGAAAATTGCTTCCGTATATTCAATTTATAATCAGATTAATTGGTTAATTAATAAAATCCAAATCTCATCGCAGTAAGTGTTTTGCTGCTTACGCCTACTAAAATGATTATATATTTAATAAGCTTAATGTTAAAACCTTTCCTAAAAAATTTTAACGATCAATTTTTTTTCTCTTTTGTACAAAAGCAATAGATAAGAAAAAAAAAAAAAAAATAAGCAATCAAATATTCTTCAACTTGTGACTGAATTTTAGATTTAAATTAATATCAATCAATAATTCAATAATAGCCGTACATTTCGCGCAAGAATAAGAGCATCATTGATCAGTTGTTTAAGAGTTACTGAAGTGGCGACATTATAGAATGAATATGCTGCACGAATTGATTTATACTGCGGATGATGCATAACTGATGAAGGCAATGAGTAGAAGCTAATTAAATCGCTTACTTTGCTATCTTCCTCATTCTAAAAAATTTTAATACATAGACTAACAATCTATTCTTTATAATCCATACAAATTCGAATTTCATTTTCAAATTTTTAACTCTAAATACACATTCATTTATTTAGTGATTCAAAAAGCTTATGTGAAATGAATAATGCGAAAAAGTTGTACTATAACTTAAATAAATTCTGAACAACGTCGAAGTTTATATAAAAAAACAAACCAAAGCAACATAACTGTAGATAACATCTTCACGCGGCATAAAAAAATGCTCGAAATCAGCTCGAGTAAATTGAGGAGATAAGTCAAACTTCTTCAGATAACACTGTAGTAAACCATAAGCACCATCAATATGACATTTCTTCATCGGTACCAAGTTTGCCGTTCTGGGATGCTGAAACAATATGATATAACAACTCGATGTTAATATTTTCCGGATATTAATGGTAATTCATTTAGCACTAATCTCTGATGGATGATCAGTTTTTAATTTTGATTATTTTTTCAAGTGTTAATGAAAGAAGGAATTAATTTGCTTAAATGGAAATTGTGACCTAACAACTTGTATGTTTTTATTATTATTTACTTGTATAAAGAGAAATAAAGTTTACAATTCACTTCAAATAAAACATACATCTGGAAGTTTATATAGCTTCAGCGTTCTCTGCATTGTCATTTTCCGTGAAAGATGAGAAAATTTCACTTCAATAAGTTTCTTTGGATTCAAAGATCGATGCCAGTATCTTAAAAGCACAAATACATTAAATTCCATTCGGATTTGGCAATTAACCTTTATTTTTAAAATTACATAACGTAAGACATGATCGGAAAAACAAAACGTAGCAGAGCAATGCTCCGGTTTTTCGATGCGACACTGAAAATACAATACCTGCAGGTTGCAATTGGTTTCGGTAAAACAACACCAGCTGTGAATACTGCTTGAAAGATACCTTCTCGATTCACTCGGCGAGTGATTTCACGAATCAACACTGGCGCTACTCTTTTAGAGCGAAGTTTCTTGTGCACACAAAGAAAATTAATTTCAACCATTTTAATTTGCTAAAAGAAAATGATTTTTCGGTATGCAAAATTAATTAGGAAAAATAAAAAAAAGTTCACAGTACATTATAAATAACGAAAAAATAAGCCTTCGAAAATATGTGAACTACAACAGCAAATTATTTTATCTTACAATTTATTATGTACTACATGAGTAGCATGTTGCTCTGTAAATCACACTCCGGGTAAGCTTTTTAATTTATTATTGAGTTAGGAAATTAAATTAGAAAATGCATATATAAATTAAGAATGATCTAAGAATAATCTATGAGTATTACATCATCCGACAAATTTGCCGCTCACTAACATTCAATTAAAAAGCACCTTGTCATAGACCCGTATAACTGAAGGAATAGCAGAAATAAAAGCAATCAATTTTCCATTTGATTTTGCCCGAACACCGCAATGCCAGTTCTTCATCCATCCTGGAGCTTTTAAAGCCCTGAAATTTGCTAAGGATGTCAAGTAGACTTTTTCTTAGTAAAATTTACTTATAAAATAATAGAATATATATTATATATTATTTATTCCATAAGTAGGATATTTACAGCTTCATAAAAAACCAAAGATTTCTATACAAAAAAAATTTCACCTTTCATCATTTCATAATTAACCTATTGAATGATGATATCAATATTATATACTCCTCCAGCTATTTACATTATTTTCATTGTTTGTGGATAAATTAATGGCATATTGTGTTCATTTCCACAAATTACCAAAAAATCAAAGTGAAAAATTTTGCGAACCAAAGCAAAAACTCTGGACTGTAATCAAATCGAAACATATTGTCATCATCTTCCACATAATTCTCTGTCAATAGCGTATAAAGTTCAGTAAGCTCTTTTACACTATTGATTTCAATATCACACCAACAAAAAGGATCTGGCAATGAAAATGGCTCTTCCCGTACTTCTGATATATCCAATGGAGGTTCGATAGCTCTATTCTCTGTTACCATTTCATCTGTAAACTAATGCAAAAAATTTTTTCGTCAAGACTGTAAAATCAACATCATATTTTTTAGTTTATTTCTAAATACATCCATTGAAATCTAATCGCAATATAAAATTTTTAATAGATATAACTTACTAATTTTTGGAACTGGCTGCGTATCCCAAAAAAGATATTTATGTCGTTGTGCTTCGGTTATATGTTTAGCAGCCGATGTTCCACCAACTGTCAACATCTAAATCGTAAATAGTTTTAAAATAAATGACAGTTGTAAAGCAACTATATATTTCAAACTCATTTTTACACAAGTCATTATTTGTTGCTAATTTTGACTTTTGCTTTTTCAATTTCACATTCATTCTAGTCGTATGAAAATTGAAAATCACCTCAAATTTTTTCATGAGAGTAGATTCAGTAAGTTCTTTGAGATCGATAACAGCAGTTGGACTATTTCGACCAGTTACATTTTGAATGCTCTCATCACCAGCATCATTCTCCTTATCATTATTCTGATCCATTTTTGAATTACCAGCAGCCATCATTTTCTCATCTTCATCATCTAATTTTATGTTTCCTGCTGGTGGTTCCTTCATTTTCCAGAAAGAAAAAGACTAAGGTCTCTTTAAAAAAAAAAAAAGAAAAAAAAATTATTGAATAATGTTTGTTATTCCTTAAATAGGAGATGATTGACCAATTCCAAACTCCAGTCACAGTGATAGCGCACGATACGTGGGAATACGTAAGCAAATGTTGCAGTAGAGATGATGACCACACTAACACTGAGAACCGAGGAGCTGAGAATTAGCTGTAAAATAATTTAACAATACACAAATATAATATATATATATATATATATATTTATATATCTGCAGTTTTCTTACTTTTTATCCTGCATTTCATTCATTTACGATGAATGATAACACATAAGTTATCGCCACATTTCTTATTTGCCAAACAACTTAATGTAAGGAAATGCAAATCTTCCGAATGATATGAGTAATAAATTTCTTTATTATTGCGCACAACACTAACAAAGTACAACATAAAAAAGAAGAGAGGTCATAGTTATATGAAAAAAAAAAAAAAAATATGGTGACAAAAGATGAATGTGACAGGAATTTAAAATGAAACCATAACTGGTAAACAACTCATCTCCCAAACCTCCTAATAAAACTGAGCTAGCTGAAGTGTGTGTTGCATGCAACAACTGTGGAATCCCACATAAGGATAGTGTATGTCTTATCCTAAAGTTAAAATTTAAATTTTCATTAGAAAGAAAGATATGACAAGACAAAAAAGTGAATAGATAAGCGCAATACAGAAAAAGTTGAAAGAATTAACAATTTTCGAGAAAAAAAAAAATCATCTAAAAATTAAGCTTAAATTGCAGAAAAATGTGATAGCATTTCTTTTGTCTCTCCTTATCACAGCAAAAATTCAAAACATAGAAAGAACGGTCACTCACTGGGTCATTTCAAACTCTGTGAATAATATCTTGCACCTTCAAATATGCATATTTCATTATAATTATTAGATTTTTTCTTAAATAATCTTTCCAAATTTTCATCCATAGCTTCTTAGATTGTTAGCATTTTTCAGGACAAAATTCTTGTCGTTAATATCATTATATGACTTTTTGATGATTTTTCTAGGATGGAACTAAATGTTTTTGATTAAGTGAGATTAGTTATCTTGACTAGTCTGCTGATAAAATTATTTCATTACCATCGAGAACAATAGGAAATTTAGACAAAGTTAATAATAGAAAATGATGGTGGTTTAAGAGCCTATCTTTCAGCTCATCCCTTACTTTTGAGTAAATTTTTGACAAAACAAGAACAAATCTCTAGATTTAGCGATTTAATAATGATAAACATAGTTGCAATGTTATATCAATATTAAGTACTAAGAAATCATAAAACAAAACTTCAAAATCGTCTTTGATAAATTTCCCCGCGAACGATGAAAAAGTATCATAAATTTGAAAATTTGTAATCAATTTACATTTGTCTACCAGTATTTAACGATTGCTATAACACTATTCATTGTCTAAATAGGATTCATAGGAAAAATCGAGACAGTTGCAACTTTAAAAAATACGAAAAATGTCGTTTCTAGAAATGAATTTACAAAGAATAAAAAATATATAAACAACATAGAATTCCTTTACATTAGCTTTCTCAACAGATGCAAAAAAAAAAAAAAAAGAAAATAATGGAATTTAAAAGAACAAAGAGAAAAAAAAAACAAGAAAAAATTTTATAACCATGATAGGAGAAGTAAAGAAACATATGTTTTCCTTTCCATCTCGAAAATATGTGACAATACTTGATTCGAATTTCAAAAAAAAAAAACCGAGAAAAGCCCAAGAAAAATAAACCAAATAGACAGAAACATTTTCATCTGCTTCTTATTACTTTTAATAGTTTGATGTTAAATTTTGCTGCAACTGCTAACAAGTGAATTAGATGGAGCACTGCAAATAATGACTATCAATGTAAATTTCTATCATGATGCTTATATGCCTTTTAATGATAACTTAATATCATAAAAAAAATCTTGGCAATCCTTCAGAATATGATTTTAAAAAAAAAAAGACTACAAGGCGGAGGATAAATCATCTTAAAAAGCAGTACATATCAAAACAAAAACAAGAAAAATATATGAAATTTTAAGAAGCATGAGCATTTAAGCCCAGCTACAACATTTGTTCATTTTTCTTGCCTGGGTGTAAAATAATTTACTTTGATTGGAGAGGCCTTCACTAGCAGCAATCAAGTCATCAAGCTTCTCACCACGTTCCAGTACTGATTGTATCGTATTATGCAATACTACTTTCGTCTCTTCTACTTCTTCCTGAAAATATATTTACAACATTGGTAACATTCTATCGTAATAATTGATAAAGCAAAATTGTTGAGCAAAAAACTTTTATTTCTACTGAATGTAAGAGAAATTTGAAAATTTATTCTGGTAATTTCGAAAGATTTGATTAAATCTATGAAAAGAAATTCATTAGTAACCTGAACTCGAGTCATCGCATCAGCTTCACGAGGATTCTGCCATTTCATCAATAGATCCGGTAAACCTGTATATGTGCAATCTTTCTCATTTTTTATTTGTGCCTGAAAATTACGCACTATCTTCCAGAGATGTACATAATAAAAGGAAGTAGTGTCGTTGTTGAAGCAATAAATAACAATTTTTGTTTGAAAATATTTTAATATCTCTAGTTTTCATAAATTAAAACTTCATTTCAATTCTGTTCTTATTTCTCTATCTCACAATCTAGAAGTAGTGTATCAACAGATTATCCAACATTCGATACAGATGTAGATACTATACTGCAGCAAAAAATACGGTTTTCCATGGTATTAAGAAAGAAACTTCAAATATTCAAATACTTATAAACTATCTCGCAATCTAGAAGTATTGCGATGAGCACAAAGTTCGTTGCCAAAAAGTCCCAAAAAGTGATTTATAGTAGAAAATTTATCACCAAACAGCATAGGAAACAATTTGCAACGTAAAGTTTTCTCGACACTTATTATTTTGAATGCTAAGTTCGCAGTTTTTCTTGACAACATTTTCGATAAGAATGCAAAAAATATTTTGAAATTTATTTCGTAGCAACGAGCATTAAGTTTTCTAGCAAGTTTACTGAAGTTTTTCAATCAAATGAGATAACTTAAAAATAAATTACTACTGCTCATATTTATTATGCTCATATGAGCTTCAGCTGAATAAACATTAACATCTGCAGCTATGACTAATAAACCAATATCAAAGAAAATCTTGCTAGATGTTATTACTAAGTTTTAAGCTAATTTTAATAACTCCACTTGTTTTCGGTTTCAAGTTTTCGATTACCTAGATTATCAATTCATGTCGATTATTTGTCTCTGAATATTGATCCAATTAACTCTGATTTCATGAGAAAGGAGAAAAAAAGTTGAACGAACCCATTGAACTGATAACACTTTGGTTGCAAAATCATCCAATATTCGTCGCAACATAGTGAATGCGATACGCTGCTGATATTCTGCATCCGTTATACAAATGCCCGATAATCCATCTTGTCGTACAAATCTAAAGATCAAAAAAGTCATAAGATTAAACTTTCTTCAACTGTTGTAGTGAGATAAGCTATATGTTTTTGTTTAAGATGAGAAATAATACTTAAATCATTGATGATAATAAAACTTAAAGTGTGAGGCACAAAATTCAAAATTAACTAAAACATTTAGGAATTATGACATGGACTAAATTTTAAAGATACAAATAAAAATTTTAATTTACGTATGACAAAAATATTCATTTTCTTTCACAGAACTACGGCTTGACAAGGCAGAACGTTCAACCAGTAACTTCCCAGTAAAAATCATGAATTCCTGAAAATTAAACTATATCAGCATAATCGAGAAAAAGAACAAATGTATAAAAATATATATCATATATCTCTGTGTTAAAATAATTTTATCTTCTATATCAAGTAACAAATATAAAAAATATATCAAATATATCTTCTATATCAAAATAATTTTATTTTAGTCCAATCAAATCATCTCAGACCACAAAATATTAAATTTATAAGCACAGAATTACGAATGGTTGAAACCCGTCATAGCATTTCGGAGGCTACACTATTCCGAGCAAACAATCCAGTAGTTAGTTAACCAACCTGAACGGAACCTCTTTGAAAGAAACTGAAACTACTCAAATCATGAGCAGATTTGAGAGTTTTTGCTCTGCCATCAGGGCCTTTATAGAGCACTTGGACTGAAAAAATCTTCATCGATAGCCCAGAAAGCTGGACAAAATCCTTGATAATATGTGGTGGCCTAGGTTAAATCTTCCTGTTTACAAATTGTTCCACATCGATGGACTGCACAGGACTAAAAAAATCTAAAATCTATAATAGATGGATAAAGATCACGCTTAAATCAACAATGAAATTGAAACAGTTACAACCGATTGATTAACTAAGACACTAATAGAATAACCCCGATTTTTCCACAGTCATTAATCTAGAAATTATGCCAATAAATTGAATTTATATACAATTCTCAAAACTTTGCTTTCTAAAAATTCTTCCCATTAATTTGAACTTTTTTGACCTATCATCATTTATAATTAATATGTTTTCCATTAATTCTTACCAAACAAAACCAGTTTTTTAGAGTAAATTAGGAAACTTCTAGGCTACTTTTCCAAGCAATTAATTGCATGCAACTACCAAATGGTTAAAGAACAAAAAGTAAGCACTTCCAGTTAAGAATCTGAATATTAATTAGGCCACTTCTTAAAAATCACTCAAGAATTTGCATTTTCACCTATTGTTAACAAAAGGAAAAAAATAACCCAAAAAAAATATTTATGTGTATTGACGAATAAGAAAGTACGTAAAAATCAATACACAAAAAAAAACCACATATCAGATCATCTTTTTTTTTTTTTTTAAACCATAAATTTAATATGGAAGTTATAAATAAATTTTCACGTATCATCAAAAGCTATGATGTATGAGTGGAATTGAAATTTTCGAAAATAAAACAAAGAAAAAAAAAAAAAATGAAACGTTAGAAACATACGTCTATCAAATATAGATCAAATCTCTGCACTCATACAATTTAATTTGTCATTTATTCATTTAAATAATAATTCTGATATACATATATACTTTTATGTAATAGGAAGGAGTTAAACAAGAAACATGTAGAAATGAAAATAGACTTCGTCGTTATACAAACATATATAGCTAAATGTTTCATCTCAAAAATTAAGCTAAGCGAATCATACATAATATACGAATTTTGTACCCAATTTATCCAACATAGAATGAAAGATTCTAATTTAAATAAAGTAATCAAAATATAAAGTTTTACTGCTACATGTATTGTAAATATTTTATGATACAATTCATCAATAAATAATATATCCAAATGAAAAATATAATAATCACACTACTATATATTTTTTTTACGTTTTTCATTCATTCAAAAGCACTACCTTCTTTTTAACATCACAGAAATATTTAACTGATTCGAACAATCAATCTGTGTGTAATTGTTCTATTTAAGAAAATCTCCGCAATTCATATAAAACAAAAACTAACTTCGTAAGAATTTGTTTGAAAAATAACCCATTTATAAAATTCATGCAAACTAAGCTAACTTAATCAGTTACAACTAAAGAATGTTAGAAAAGCAAAGAAAAAAATGCTAGAAGAAAAGTGAACAAAAGCGTGTACGTACACAGCTTACTAACGTCTTAAATGGAACACAATGTTATTAAAAAAAGGACAAATATGATGTAACGGAATGTTTCTTACGTCATCTCCTAGCTCTTTGCCCTTTTTTTTTTTCTTGAAAATTTAATTAATAAAATGGAGAAAGAAAGAGTGAACAACAATCGTAGTAAAGAAATGAGTTCATTTCCAATCTTTATGAACAAATTTCAACATAAAGGAGTTCTAATTTGCAAAAGCGATAATGAAATAAATGAAAAATAAGAAAGCAACCAAAAATCTTCAATAATTTACAACGATTAATAGCATGAATAAAATAATATTACCTGTAACTATTTTAATTTTATTTAGAGAAAGTCTCCTGCTCAAGTATAAAAATAAAGCAGTATAATGAGCTAAAAAAAGGGAAAGAGAAAGCGAAAAAAATATGAAAAATGAAGATGAACATATGAAGTCTATTTAATTTCATTAAATTAAAAAAAAGTGTAAAACTTGTAAGGCAAATATATTGTCAACCATAAGCGGGTAATAATTTCTCAACCACAGAATTCCATCCTTTTTCAAAATTTGTTTCCGTAAAACGATTCACTGAAAGACGTGCAGCATCACGTATCGAACTGCGTTCTTCCGGACTCATTTGTATTATTTCTAGCGCACAGTCCACAAAATCTAAAAATGAACAAATTTTCGATATAACCATAAATCAAATAATGTGAAAAAAAAAAAAAAAAAAACGCTAAAATAACAATTTTCGATCATATCACCGATCATATTTATTTATTAAAGTCTCTTCCCCATTTGTTCTACTTTTTCTCTCATCAATTACTTTTTCTCACTCTCACTAAATGTTCTCTCTGTTCTATTCACTTCCCAAGACAGTCAAATGAATCCTGCAAATCACATCGCTACCAATATTTAATCAAAATTGTAAGAAACCAATAAACAGTCAAACTTTTTTTTGGACTTTTTTGAACATGCCTTTTTCTCTTTTTTTTCTTCTAAACATCTTTGATAATTTTATTAAAAAAATAGAGAAATGCAAGAAAACTTACCATGTACACTCGCTGCTAGCAGACCAATTAAAGTTTTGCTTCCGACGGCATCTGCATTCAATATATCCAGTTTAGGACCACCTGTAAGTATTATCAGACATTATTGAAAACTGTTCATTCCTAACTCAGAAAAGAAAAAAAAAGCATAGAAAAGACAGTAAATTAACCTGAATTGTGAGCGATCATAATTTGGCCAGCAGCAATACCTTCCACAACAGATATGCCAAAATGTTCATTTTGCATAGTATGAATGCCAATCAGTGATTCCTTAATTTTTAGTTAATATATATTTGAACTATCACTAATCTTACTTTTATATTTAAACATTATGTAAGTATAAAAATCCTATTACTTCAAGTAGTGCTTCTACTTTATCGACAGGTGCATTAAGTGCCCATTCTAAGTCATCATTGCTAAGGCCCATATTTTCTCCATAGAGTTGCAAATCTTTGGCACGTTGAACATCGCCCATATCACGACATCCACCACATATAACTAATCGAATCTGCAACAATTTCATTACCATACTTCAAAGTTCCTTTATTCTCAGTTCAAATATAAATAAATCATTTGTAATGACAGACTTTAGAGTTAATGGAAGTTTCATAAAATCTCCATCTAAATTTGCGTTGTGTTACTAGTGACAACTAAATCAGATATTGTAATATAGAAATTCAACCTTGTAGTTCAGATTTTCTTTCAATAATCGCTTTTTCAATTCAGCTAAGAAACAAATCTGTAATCTATGATCTTTTTCGGGTCTAATCTGTCCAATTGATAACATTTGCACTCGTCTCTCTTCTCTTAGCAACTTTTCTGCCTTGGAATTGATCCTCAAAAAAAGAAAAAAACAGTTAATACCATTTATTAAGCTTTTGAATAAATTCTCTCTTTCTGATCATCGTCACATAACACCAATTTGATACAGCTTGTTATCTAATGCTTTGAGGCTTCCTTCCCACTTTTATCCTCAATAAGTAAACAAGTAAAGAAACCTGAGCAAGTTATCAACATTACACGGTGGATAGACGAGGTATGTTCGATCGTCAACGCCCCACAATGCCACAATATGATCACGAGTCCAGCTGAAGTTTTAAATTTAATAACTAGCTTCAAATGTTAGACAAGTAAATTGGATACTTTCGACATGTTAAATTCGACTTTGTGATATTATGATTAATCTAATAACGCATAAATTATTGCTCTACGGGGAGAAAAGAAAAAGAAAAAAATTGCAATATAACAATTTTCGAAATTAGTAAATCGAATCTCATTTAATGAATGACTAATATGCATATTTTCATTCTTTTTGAACCAATTATCTCTAAAAAAAGATTATTGTTAAATGCTATATATTAACTTGTTAATCTTTCTCCGCTTATATTAACGTTTCAAATGCTTAAGTAATTGAAAATAATAACACATAAGTAGAAATAATAAATCAAATGCTTACGTGCCATTAACCATAATAACTTTACTGCAGATACCACTGAGGGAGTAAAATATAGCGAATATACGATAATACACCAACTTGCAATAGGTAAAGAATCGGTTTTTCGCTATCCACTGTGCGTTATTATAAGAAGGTTCGGATGATTCCACCAATTTTATCATTTCTAAATAAGATATTCATTACCAGAAACAAACATATATTCGGAAAGCAATAAAAAAAAATGAAAATACAAAATGAAAATAAAATTAACCACGAGAAATAACAGGATAGTGCACATAGCAAGCAACATTGCATCCAGCAAACCATCTGCAAGAAACATTCATATATTATTTATTCTTTTCAAAGCACTATTCAACATATTATTTCTTTTCAAAACAAACCCAAAATGAGAAAAAGTCATCAATCGATCAAAATTTGTTTGATTTTTCTACAAAAACAATGGAAATCTTTATCAACATTTAATATGACTGTAGATTCTATGAGGACGTGAAACTTCAGCATCTGTCTACAAAATGCCACCTACTGTCATAATATTCTGCACTATTTTATACCTCAGAAAATACTTTTGTATCAACTGTAAAAATTGCGACATTCATTTCTGTTTTGCTTCATCCTATTTTGTACATTAAAAGGAACAAAAAATAAATATTGAACTGAGATTAAGGTTAATAACAACCTGAACAACGGTAACGTAAACGGATATCCCATTGTATCGATGAAAACATGTGGATTGTACCGGAACAACGCTTCAACGCCAACTAGCAAACCAGCCAAATTTTGAAGCAACAATGTCAAATATGGATAATTACTCGACTCCAACCAAGGTCGTGTACTACAAATAGAAAAAAAAAAACTTAATGCATAATATTGCATTAGCTATTTCCAAATTAAATGAAATTACATATTTCATTGTAATTGCGTATCTCCAAATTTTCATGTGAGTTTAAACAAAGATTACTGTTAATCAACAAAATAAGTATGATATGAAGTGCAGAATGCAGGAATAACTTTCATAAACTATAGTTTAATATGGATTATAAAAGTCCAAATTATAATTAATCATACAAGATTTCTTGAAGTGTTACATCTATCACAAGGTTACAACCATTTGCTCTTAGATTTAGCTTCTGTTTAACGTAATATTTCTTTCTGTAAAAAAAAAAAAAAAAAAAGAAAAAAAAAATACCGAAGATAGATGAATTGTAAATTGTTATCAATAACTTCAATATCGAAGCAGTCTTTTGCTTTTTGCAAGATTTTTTGAGGTGTTACATCCACATCACCAGTATAAACCACATATCGATATTTTTTGCCAAACCTGAAAAAACTTCGTTTTAAAATGCACTTAAAATAAACTTATCTGCCAAAATAAACGTGCAAAACTGAGAATGATTTCAGAGATAAAATCGATTGTACAGAAAACATCACAAATTACAAATTTAACTTCTTCGAAAAGTAACAAGAATAATGACCTAGAAGCCATTCACTAATACCGGGTCATCTTAATAACGATTAATTTTTCCTTCTTTTTTTCTTTTTGTTTATCCATTTGATACTTGATAAAATCTTTTTAACCAAATACCTACTTTTTTTGCATGGCATTGATAGCGCACCACAAAACGCGTTCACCGCCACCACCAGCATTACAATATGGATGAAAGAATGCTATTACATTACGATGCTTTCGTATTCGGAACCTGGAAAATGTTACCCAAAAAATGTAAATTGCAAAGTGACATAAATTGTAAGCTATAGATTAAATAGTCAAATATGCATTGATCAAGAATAAACCTAAATAATTTAGCAAATAATAGAAACATGGATTAAACTTGTTGCCCAATTAAAAATATCCTTCGCTTATACACATATCCATCACAGCAAGAAAAAATCAAAACATAAAAAGTAAAACATAAAGACATTGTTCAATATAAAAGAAAAAAAGAAAAAAAAAATGAATAGTAAGCAGGAGACGAACAAAAACAACTTTTCCACTAGCAAATATACTCTACCAATTATTTATTAAAGACTGAAAATGAAATGAAATTACTCCAATCAATATATCTGAAAAAACTAGGTATCAAGTTATATTACTATGCAAGTTTTAAAAAATAAACAACATACCTAATTCATATTCCATAATTCCATACACTCTTAAGTGTCAAAAATTATTTCAACTTATTTCAAGGTTCACATACTGATATATATATATATATATATATATATATATATATATACTGATATATCAGTGATTAAGAATTCAAAATGATGGATGAATGATTCAACAAGCTTAATGATATCTAATAAAGAAAGCAAAGCACAAAAGCAAATTTAATTTCACTTATACAAATAAAACATACCATATCATTAGCAAGAGAGTTATCAGTGGTAAAATGGAGAGGAACAGAACTGTGGAATCCATAACCACCTATAATTAAACGATAAAAAATTAAAGAATCACACAAATATTAGAGAATATCAAACGACAAATGTCATTCAAGAATTAATAAAAAAAAAAAAGAATACTTTTTAATAGTCATTAAAAATTATTATGGACTGAATACTTAACTAAATCGATTGAAAGCACAATTAGTCATGCAAAATTACGCTAAATCAATCATAAAAACGAAACAGAAAAATGACCATTGTAGTTATGTTCTATATGCCACTATTAGTGAACTGAAATGGATCAAACAAAAGTAAAACAATTGGTAAATTTCGAGAAACTAAGAGCAATCATTGATAAATGACACTGATCTTTTAGAAGAAGGCTCAATGCAGCTAAGGCAAGAGAGTCGAACTTAAAAACATGGGATTTTAAAATCTAATAACAATTTAAATTCAGAAGAAACTAATAACCTAAGCTTTAGTTTGCCTTCACTTTTCCTGAAAAGATTTTACGGATCACCGCTACTCAACTAAAGAATAATTTTTTTTTTTTTTTTTTCAACTAAAGAATAATTTTAAAAATCTGATGTATTGCCGATATACACATAAATGTTAAACATCTGAATACTTCAGTATTTCACAAAATTCTAGCAGCTAAGAAACCCTGATAATCATAAATTTTTCATGCACTAATAAGAGTAAAATTAAAGCGGAATTTTCCAGTTATTTGCCTCCATACCAGATGCACAGTGAGCAAGTCTTAACAATTTGAAGCAACTTTAATCGTAAATAATCTAATCCTTTTAAAAATGAACGTTTCCTAGCAGGTCTTATTCCTAGCTTTTGCTCAGTATAGCTTAAGTTTACTCAAAATTTATCCTACATATATATATATATATATATATATATATATATATATATATATATATACAAAATTTATCCTAATTTATCCTAAAATTTATCCAAAATTTATTCTAAAAAAGAAAGAAATAAAACGTAAAGCATGATGGAAGTTGTATGAATATACAAAGAATTAATTACACTATGCTGCTTTTAATTTCACTTAAAATTTTGACTTCTAATCGACATTCAGTTCTGTCTTCTCTTACAAATAGATTATTATGCTAATCAAAATACTATATCTAACAAAAATATAAATAAGATATCCTATAAGTTTAATAAAGAAGTATTGCTAATGAAATAATAGCAATTAAGAATGAACAGGATAAGAAAATGTGAATAGGAGAGCTGAAGAAATCTTGATAAATGAGTACAAATTTCTGCAACTGAGAAACACTTGCAAAAAAAGAAGAAAAAAATCATTAATATTTATTACATGATTAAGATGAAAGTATGAATGTAAAAGAGTTCACAAGATAGTGCAAATTTTACTAAGATAATTGACAGAATTTTGCAAAGAAAAAAAAAGAAAAAAGTAGTGCTGAAAAACAAAAAAAAAAAAAAAAAAGCTACAGAAAAAAACTAAAGAAAAATTGAAATGAAAGATGTGACATACCTTACATATATCACTGTTTGATAGCAAATGGCACCAATTCTTCTATCAACAAATCGTATTCATAATTCTTGATAACATTTTAATGATTTCCATTTCAATCATTTTACAATCATACTAAAGTGAAGTTTAAAAGATACGCGGTCGTAGTAAGCAGCCCGATATGAAAGCGTTAAATATTGTAAAAGATGGATGATTTCGAGTTTGAAATTTAAATTGCTAATACAGTGTGATATTTTGATCTTTTTCTTTTTGAGAAATTTAAAAAAAAAAATAAAAGAAACTAATTTGACAAATAGTAGTGCAATGTTTTCATTATTTTATACGCTATCTTTTTTTTTTTTCTTTTGGGATTTCCTATTATCAGTGCTGTAAAATAGATAAATATTTTAATTAAACGAGGAAAGAATACCTCTTTATTATTTTATCTTTTTCATTATGTAATGATACTTTATCAATTATTGATAATTTTACTACTAGTAGACATAATGCTTGATTGTAAATCATATGTAGCAACATGTAATGATGCTTTATCATTGATAAATTTATCACTGAAAGATGTGATTATAATTGTAAAAGTTAAATTGGTATATGTGATCATTTCTCAATGCACATCAATTATTTCATTACTCGTAAAACTTTTACACGGCATTGGCTTATTGATAATTTATTGAAAGATGAAAAAAAGAAAGGAAGAAAGAAAGGAAAAAAGAAAACTGTCAAATAAAACATTTAATTAATTGATAATACAATCTCATTGTAATGCGACAAATGAATGGATGAATATGACACACTTTTAAAAATAATTGAAATAAAAAGATGAAAATTTTAAATTAAAAGACAACTTGCATATCATTCATGCAAATTGTAAATGCATTATTGGAATAATTTTTAGTAAAATAAATTTTAATTTCCAATAAAATAATTTCTTAGAGAAAAAAAAAAGCCAATAGAATTTCAATAAAATAAACATTTGCTTTATATTTTCAATATAGTAACTTGTTCTTGTTACACTATAAATGAAATTGTTTAGTGAAAAATTATCATTTTAAGAGTTTCCAAAAAAAAAAAAAAATTTAAATGATTTTAACAAAATGTTTTTTCTTAACCTTTAGCATTCTTTTCAGTTATATCTATTGAAACTATTATAATTTCCGATGATAACGAGTGATTTGTTTAATTTTAATGCCTTTAGATTATGCTTTTTTTTTTTTTTTTTTTTTTCATTTTTCCAAGCATTCATAATCGTTAACAAAATTTTCATAATGCTTGCATGCATGCATGCATGCATGCATTTAAAGTATACTTTAAATTTGATATGAAATATGGAGAAAAAAGAGATTAAATTCTTTACTTATTATTATAATTGTAAATTTGTTCTCAAAATTCAAAATTGTACATTTTTCATTTGCATCATTCAATCATTCGATTACTTTTAATGCATGCATTTCCAACAACATTAATACTAATTGTAAAATTTTTTAACTTAATAATTTTAACTTAAAAAGTTTAGGAATTTCCCTATTGATTACTAATAAGTTATCATTTTAGCTTTTAAATGATTATCATTGATTACTTACATTTATTAAAATAAAAAAAAAAAAGGATTTTTATTCATGAAATATATTATTTCAATTTATATCATTTCACTGATGTATGTGTAAAATTCAAGTATAACTCATATTATTATTATTATTATTATTGTTATTATTATTATTCACTAAATTATATAAAAATTACTCTTTTATACTTTAATTTACGAGTAATATTATTGCTAATATTATTTCATTCCAATTATTGCACTTTTGCTAATCAACAAATGCATATTATTACATTCTAATCTGTTTTGCATATTAACTTTGATCTGTTATTAATCAATGAAAACTGCGCAAATTGTTCAAAAAATGGTGGCGGTATTTTAAGACATCTCGAAAGATATCTTTTAATGAATCTAATTTAAATTACCATTGATGTGAGCAAGTGTAAGTTATATTAATTCATTCTTGTTTACTGATCATTTAATATCTATTCAATATTATTTGGTTAATGTTTTATTGTATTAATAATATTATTGCTACATTAAAATTTTATTATTTCCTCTTTTTTTTTCCTTCTCTTTTAAATTTCTTTTCCCTTCTTTTGAAACAAAAAATCATATTTTTTTTTTTTCTTCTCATTTTGAAATTCTCTCATTTCTTTTCATCTAACTCTAACATTTTGCGTATTATCGAAGAAAAATCACAATTAGCAAACATGAATGATCAAAATGATTTTGTAAAAACTTTTAATTTTTATGCTAGAACAATTCGTAATTCGTATTATAAATTAATTGTTCAAATATTTTAAAATAAATAATATTCCATGAGTGATAGACAGTGATAACAAACATTTTACACTATTGATTCATTACAAGTGACTGATGATTCATTCTATCATTAATGTTATTATTATCATTACTTTCATTTTCAACATTATTATTATCATTATTACTATTATTATTATTATTATTGTAACTAGATGTTTGTTGTTTATTACTTTCCAGGTATTTGTTATTTTCTATTCGTACCAATTTCATTTGTTGCTCTTGTACGAATGCTTCCAATGGTACTTCACTGAAATTATTTAAAATTATTTTTACAATTATTATAAGTGTATGGTACATAATTCTATAACTAACTTTCATGATGCTAAAATATATATTGTTTCTCATATAGTTTAATTTAAAATTAAATTTTAAAAAATTTAAAAAAAATGTTACATGGTAAAGCTATCTTTTGGTCCAGTTCGTCTCAATCGATGTGAAAGTTTTTCATCTTCTTCAGTTACTTTCATAAAATTGTCAACCTGAAATTGAGTAACCTAAACAGAAATATGCCTTTTCAATGAATACAAAATTAAATAAGCAATTAAAATTTTTAAAATTTTATTCCATATCAAAAAATTTTAGTAATAATTACATCACTGACATAGATATAACAATCGCAGCATTTCTAGGTTAATAAAGAGGTTAATTTTTTTTTTTTTTTACTCATTAGAATTTTTTTTTATTAGGATTTTAATTTTATCATTATGATTGGATTTTATCATTATGATTAGATTTTATCATTAGACTTTTATCATTATGATTAGATTTTATCATTAGACTTTTATCATTATGATTAGATTTTATCATTACGTTTATCATTGTGATTAGATTTTATTATTACTTCTATCATTATGATTAGATTTTATCATTACTTTTATCATTAGAATTTACTCGGTTATCGATTACAGATTAAAAACATTGCATTTATTATGTCAAATCTTTTCATTCATTCTTATACTTTTTATTCACTATTTCTACTATAATTTTTTTTTTTTTTAGAAAATAATTTGAAAAAAAAAATATTTAAATGATAAAAATAAGTGAACTAACTTACAATAATAGTTATCGGTAAGGCAAGCACTAAAACACCGCAAGCAATTGCACCGGTTGCTACCAGTTTTCCAACTAAAAAAATAAAATTTTTTTCGCAATGAATGCAAAATTAAATGAACAATTAAAATATTTATAGCTAATATAGCTAAATCTTTTTTTTAAATAAACTTTAAAATTTCCGGAAAAAAAATTTTTAAACTATTCAATCCAAAAAAAAAAGAAATAGAAGATTTTTTGAGAGAAAAAAAAAAATACCAAGAAAAATGATCATTTTACAAGTATAATAAATGATAATAAAAAACAAATCATGACAGAACGAAACGAAGATAAATAGCTAACTTAACATCAAATCTTTAATCTTTTTTTTTTTTTTTTCTTCTCAAATCACTTAATCTTTGCTTTGTAAAATAAGTTATCCTTTTTTTTTTTTTTTTTTTTAAAAAAAAAGAAAAGGAAAATTTCAGTGTTGTGAAACTTATAGATTAAAACAGATTGAAATATTTATAAAAAGAAATTTAGCAAAATGAAACGATAATATTGATGAAATTATTGATAAAATTTTAAAACTTAAGATTAAATAGAATTTGATCTTAGATAGCAGATGATAATAATGATTAAAATTTGTAGTAAATAATATCTTACGGACTGTTGTTGGTGTAAGATCGCCGTATCCTGAAATGAAATTTTATGTTAGAAATTAAATAATTCTAAATGATAGCAAGAAAAAAAAAAAGTGGGAATAATAATTGATAAAAATAATTTTCAGAAAATTTTTTTTTTAAATATATGCATGCAAATATTTTACATTTTGATTTTGATATTTTCTGTAAATTGCAAAAAATAAAATTTCTGCAAATTTATCGTAAATATTTTTCATTTTCCTAATTTTTATATTAATTTTGAGTTTGCTTATTGTTAATATTCAATATAATATTTTTTCATATGAAATAACATTTAATTATTATAACAATTAAATAACATTTAATTAATAACACAATCTTTGTACTATAATTTGTACAAAAAAAAAGAAAAAAAAAATTGAAAAGTTTATACCTTTATTTTAACTTTAAAATATGCAAAAATGTGTAAGCTAAGTTTTTAAAGTTTCATTTCATTGCTTTTACTTTTTCTTTCTTCACAACTATTTCATAAAATTATAAAAAACAAAAAAAAAAAAAAAAAAAAGACGTAGCGTGTAAACTTGCATGCATGCAAAAGTGCAAGCTATCATTCATTTAGCAAACAAATAATCAGGAAGAGAAACTCACCAACTGTTGTCATAGTGACGATACACCGGAAAAAACCATTAATTAATTAATTATTTATTGTATGAAAGAATGAAAATTTAAACAACATTATTTGATTGCTATTTTTTTAACAAGAAAACAACGCAACAATAATAATTATTGATCCAATTATTGATTACATTACTTATTAATTAGCTTATTTAAGCATTTTTTTTTTTCTAAATCAATGCTAAAATGATGAATAGTTCTTTTATATTTAAAAAAAAAAATGAATAAGAAAATTAAATAATTAATTGCTCATTCAAATTCTGAATATATTAATAAATGATTTTGTTCAGTTAAGATCATAATTAAGTGATAAATTGTTAAGTAAATCAAAAAAAAAAAAAAAAAAGAGAAGAAAAGAATAGCAAGGCAAAAAGTAGAACATAAGAAAGAATTATCGTTTTTTTTTGTCTTTTTCTAAAGTATTTACAACTATTAAATATTATATATGATATTGCTTGTACCTGATCCGGAAAAGCTTACCACCAACAAGCAGCCGGTATAGAATAAAACTGACTTCCTTCAACATCCTTTTCAATGAAATATACTAATGTACTGAAAAATATAACACCGGTCAAAACAACCATTGCCATCATACTGAGCTGCCGAAAACTAGCCTTAAATATCATCAAAATATTTTTAATATTTTTATTTTTTTTTTTATTTTTTAATTTTTAGTATTTTTTTAAATTTTTTTTAAAAACATTTTTAATTTTTGAGATTTAAGAAAATATTTAACAAATAGAAATTAAATAATTCACAATTTTGCACAATGTAAAATACAATTTTAGACTTTTCAAAAAAAAAAATAATAAGACGTTTTAAGCAGCGAAATCTCTTACTCTTAGCGTACGTCCGAACATTTGCAAACCAATACTGTATCGACCAAGTTTTAATATACGAATGACACGCAAAACACGTAAAACACGAATTACTAAGAAGGCAAACTGTAAAGTATTACTTCCATTAAATTTAAATATAAAATCTTGCTAAAAAAAAAAAAAAAAAAACAAAGAGAGAGAGAGTGTGAGGGAGGGATGTAATTGTAGATGATTTCAGATAGTACAGAAAACGTGTACTTATAGAAAATATGTCAACCTTAATTCAACTTCAAAACGTCAAAATTAAACTTAAACAAAAAAATAGGCGACATTTGTTACATTCATTCCTTCTTTTTTCTTTCTTCTTATATATTACATCTAATTTCATTTACTACTAATATTAAAAGATGACCTGAAAATGAATGTCAATGAATATTAAAATAAAATGATACCTTGAGGTCTCTCATATTTTTGGTATTAAATCCAAATAAATTAAGAGCAATTTCAATAATAAATGGAAGTATAGCTAATAAATCAATAATATTCATTAATCGAAGAAATGTACTCATTCGATCATAGCTAATTAACATTTTTAATGCATATTCAAAGATAAACCAAATAATACAAATGAATTCCAATCGTTCAAATACTGGTAATGGCTCCATTTCAATCATTTGAATGCTTATTGAATCTACAAAATTACTTTTATTCATATTGGAAAAAAGAAAAAGGAAATAAAAGAGAAGAAAAAAAGAAAAGAAAAAACGAATTGTATAAATAGCGAAATAGTTTAGCTTTAACTCAAATAAATTTAGGTATTAGTAAATTGAATTAAATATTCATAAATACATTTAATGCTAAGTAATATTGTAGGATAAGTTCACTCAGCTAATAGCAATAGCATTTTTTTGCTTCTATTTTTGCTTGATCAATTATTTACTAATACACAAATTTCAAGAGCTTCAAAAATTAAAAAAAAAAAAAAAAAAAAAGGAAAAAAAAACTATGGAAGATGGAAAATATTCCATTTATTGAAGAACTTAAAGATTAATTTAAAGTTAAATCGTTTAAATATTATGCATGAAAAATGTAATGTGTTCGTAAAAATCTACACTATTTTTTTTATCTATATAGATAAACGAATATTTGATGATCAGTTTAAAACTAAATAATCACTAAATTTATCTATCTAGTTATTAACAGATAAAAACTTTCAAAAACATTGAATAATTTCAATTGTTCAACTAGACCATTAGAAAAATCACAACAATGTCATTAAAATTAAGCCATTAAAAATGACAACAACTATCAAATTTTTGTGTTGTCACTACTTCGTCAAAAATGATAAGCAAGAAATGACTTACCAATAGTGGTAGTATAATTTGTTTTGAGTTGAAATTCTGGTAATGAGCCAAGTACCAGGCCAAGTATTGATATAAATACAAATAGTACAGAAAGAGTTGTAAAAATCTGAGCAGCAAATGAGCTTAAAAGAAGAAAAAAAATCAATTTACTCTGTATTATTTCTTGTATTGCATTTGCACTAGGCATGAAAGAAATCTTTAAACTAGGACATTTATATTTGTTTTGATAAGTTGATAACACTTATAGTATCACATAATCTTGATAACTCAATCAGATATTATCATTTGTTATCATTTCATCGAATTATCAATTGATCTGATTCATATGTTTACAAGGAAAAATGCAAAAATGCCAAATTTGTTTTACGCAATATTTTCAATCCTCTCTCTCTCATCCTCACTCTCTCTCTCTCTTGGATATTAAAATTTGATTCAGAGTTTGAGAGAATTTAAAATTTATCTATTCAATAGCACCCAAAATGCTTTTTTCTTCCATTTCTTTTTCTCATTTACTTACATCATATTTCATAACATCAGCCTACTGTATTACAGTATCACCTTGGCTACAGTAATAGGCTATTCAGTTAATCATTTCAAGATTAAAAAGACGACTTCAATGATAGCAAAACTATTGTTCCCAAAATATGTCAGAAATATTTGACCGATAATTGTACCGTATATATTAAATATCATAGACAGACAGGATACGGTATGATACAGGAAGATTTCTCAGATTATAGATTACTTTTAATAAAATAATTTACAAATTATTCAAACCTTGCTGGCACTTCCATGAGATTCCAAATTTGTAATCGATATTCACCAAAGCGGAGATGTCTGAAATAGTCCGCTTGATCCATTTCAGAGCTGCTCCTGAATGAATCTAATTGATTGTCATTTCTATTAAAGCAGCAACATTCGGCCAAATACTTATCCGGTGCGATACACCAATAATCCAATTCATTTAGCAAATCTTTCAAGCATAAATTTTCTGGCAAATGTATGAAACCTATAATTTATAATTAATTTGGTTTAAAATTTTTTTCTAAAATTTATATTTACATAATTTATTTGCAAATTCTATAAATATTAGCAAAAATTTCAGTGATTTCATGAAATAAATTATTCTAAAGCTAACTAATGAATCGATAAATATTTGAAATGAATTCTATAGACTAAGCATATTTAAATAGTCTAATATTGATTGATGTGATAAAATTTGATGAATAAAAATTTCAATCAATTAAATTGATGATCAGTGATAAAGTGATTAAAAGATATAAAACAAATGATAAGTCACTTTATCGCTTTCTAAGCAACAGTCTAATGAGTATGAATTGTAAACAGAAAAGAGTAAATGGTAAAAAATATGATTTTAAATTGAGGAAAAGATAAAAATGAAATGAAATGATAGTTTTACCTGTAAGATAAAATTGATAAATAACGTTAAATAATAAGGCGGAACGTTCGAAATAATATTCGTTTGTATTTTCAAGGTATGCATCTGCCAAAGGTACGCGTTTTTCATGTGGCCATCGAACAATTAATGATAAAAGACCTGAAAATTTATCATTTAAACAATATCTGTTACTTTTTACAAAAATTTAAGATAAAAATGAGTCATAAAAAATTAAATCAAAAATTCTTTGTTTACTCACTTTATGCATATTATATATATTTTCATAAGTTTTAAATTAGACAAATGTTTCTTTTTAAAATGCTAATTTTACAAATATGCTTTAAATTTCAGATTTAAATTTAGAAAGTTTCCTAGCTATTTCGAATTAATAATATTATGCTATTAGCTCATAGGAAGAAGTCTAAAAATTAGAAAATGTTTTCAGCTTTTCAAAATTAAGAATCTAAGCATTCTTTCCAGTTTTTAGTTTTTCCTTTTTTATCTTCAAAATTAACAATATTCAATAAACTGTTGAATAGATCTAATGTTTTAAACATAAAAGTTCTCGAGAATTTGAAAATTTTTTCTATTTTTATTATTGAATTATTAATTGAAGGAAATTGGAGGAATTCTGTTAAAGAAATTTATCATTTAGGCTGCAATGCTAGAAGTAAATCAAAATAGTTTCTACTGTAAAAACGAAAGCTAAGTGAAAATAGTTTCACTGTAAAAATTTAATTTAAATTACTCAAATTACTTCTTAAAATCGATGAATTATTTTATTCTTAAATATGCAATGCTTGAAAAAAATGAAAGTAAATAGTAGCAAAAAAATGATGAATGAGATATGAGATTTCAGATTAATTTCAAATAGAAAAAAGCAATAGAGAAAAAGTTAGAAGTCATTGATAAAAAATTAAATTGAAACATCAAAAGTTTGATTGAATTATGCCACAATATTTCTGATATATCTTACTTAAATAAAGCTTTTGTAAATTGATAATATCAAAGAAAAAATGAGAATGGGAAAGTGTTAAAAGAAAGTTATAAGTTGAAAATTCATACCAGTTTTTCGCCTTAGAACGGTTTCGTTACGTATCAGGAAATGTGTACCGCCAATATTTAAACGTAAAAATGTATCAGCATTGTCGCTGTCCGTTATTAATCCAAGCTAAAATTAATATTTTGCAAAGATAAGATAAATAAGTGGTAGAAATATTGATCTGATCATAAATCTATATTTTTGTAAGCTTATATAAACTGAGCTAAGGAAGAAATAATTTTGCAAAATTATGATCTGAAAAGAAAATCAGCTGAAATACGGAAAATGATAATAAAGTTAAGTGAAAGACTTCTCAATGAGTGGATAATTTCCGGTTCAAATTTCAGTCTAGGTGAAAAAAAAAAAAAAAAAAAAACTCCACAACATGGATTATTAATGGCACAGCAAATGGTTGTGACCTTTGAACTCGAGTCGTTCTTATAGATTCTGTGGCGCTACTAAATTTATAAACCGCCAAAAATGTTTAGGCCACTTCTACCTTCTCGTTTTTTTTGTTTGACTTAAAAAGTGGAAAACTTTTTTTATTTTGACTTCTATTTTTTTGATCTTTTTGACGTATTCATAAATTTATATTTATAATTTTGATATTCAAAATCACTTGTGATTGAGGCGTATTCTCGACTTCATTATTTGACGAAATTATATCATTGATAATTGATGTGATATAATTGCTCTTTAGTGATGTCATTTGTGAGTCTCTGAAATTTTAAAAGGATTTTAACTTGAACATTTCTGACAATATTTTGAAATTTAGCATGTGGAAAAATTTTGAGCAAAACATGCCTATTTATCATTTTTTCATATATTTTTATCTTCAAAATTTAAAATTTCCAAAATTCATCTAATAATATGCTAATCATAGATCATTAAGAACTTTTTTTTTTCATGATTTCTTGTAAACTATTGCATTAAACTGTACTTAAATTCTAAATAACCATGAAAAAAAACATGCAAGTATTTCAGAAGTTTATTTTCTAATTAATTTTAAAAAATTTCCCAATAACATTTTTTATTTCTAATAGATTCCAAACGTTTTGCTAAACAAATAGCAAAAAATCGATATCTTTTATTGTTTTTTAATTGAAAACTATTGAAAATTACTTTAAGAATTGAGAAATACAAATGCTTCGTCGTATCATTTGATCATTGTGATGCTCAAAAGGTCGATTTTTCCTATGAATACCACGTGTTGAAGTAGCCATTATAGAATCCTGTAGAATTAAATCATTCATTTTAATATATTTTTTTTTTTCAAAATATTTCTTATCACAATAATTATACGAAATTTTACTCTCTAAAAGCAATGCCATCCATTTATTTCACAAAAGTAAAAAGTTGAGCAGTTGTTAAGATGCAAATTTCAAATGAAAATAAGTGCTTCTTGCAGAAAAAATTAAATTGAAAAATAAAGTCTGCATGTGTGGCAAACATGAATATATAGTCAATTTAACTCTTAGTGCTGATAAAAAAAAAAAAATGAAGTCAAATAAAGCTATATGGTGATAAGCTATGTAATTAGATAAACTTAACAAACTTATAAGATTAACACTTAGGTAAGAGTTTTCGAAAGCAACAAATTATATCAAATGTTAGTAAAAGAGAGGAACAAAAAAATCAACAAGAAAGAAAGTTTTATTCCAATTTTCTTTTTTGCTGTAACTTTTTACTGATATTAATGCATTATTTGTAATAGCACACATATCTGTCAACAGATCTATTATCAATTAATCAACGTTGATAAATTACATCATTAATTAATCAGTGTTTATAAGCTACACTTGGCTTGTAGATATATCAAAACATTTGAAGTGAATTGATCAGATCCATCGAAATTTTAGCACCATGTTGAATAGAAGGAAGCAGAAAATTCTGAGTGGTAAATTACAGCAAATCTTGATATCATTGAAGGAATAATGTTTTTACTTTCATCTAGATCATATTTTATTCGTTTTTCATATATTTTCTTATCATTACTCTTATCACTGCTTAATTATAAGTCAAATGAAACTATAATATTCAAAATATGAATCAGCCAATTGAGCTTTTTCTCTTGCACTTTATGCAATATTTTGCCATTGCACAATCAAAATGACTAGTTTCGATTACTGTAAGCTTCAACTGCTACAGTACTTATTGCGTCGCTACAATATCTACAGTATCCATTACTGTATGAAGTTTGACTGTAATCAAAAGATGTGAAGTTTATTTTCTTTAAAACGTCATAATTCTTGCTTTATCTGCGATCAAAATAAATAAATAAATGCTTCATTCAAATCCGGCACAATTATCAGGAAAGACAAAGAGCAGAAGTTTTTTTAATTTATAAAATTAATGAATAATTGGTTGTGGTAAACAGTTTGAAATTTGTAATAAATCAATTTTTCTTATGATGTTGAAAGCTTTCATTTCCTTCCTTCCGTTCTCACTTATTACATTAATCCTTTTCAGATATGCTTCATTAACTTCCACCTAGATCAACTGAAACATGTTAGATTAATTTTAAAGAAAATGAAATAATTTAAAACTTGTTGAAATCATATGCAAAAATCTTTATCAGCAATTCCTCACAAATAAGCTATCAGAATTTTGATAAAGCAAAATGAGCAAAGTTATAATAATTAGTTAAAAGGTTTATTTTCTGTAATTTCCTTAATAACTGAAATTGGTGTTATACGTAAAATTTTGAGGGAGTACGTAAATTCATGAAAGTCATGTTTAGCCTTCCGATGACATTCGATGACACTAATGTGGTAGTTATCATGTATAAACAAAATTTATAATCGTCAGAAAATTTACAAAAATTGAATATTATTAATAACTCTTAACTACATCATATCAGTTGTTCATCACAAGGAGAAAAAGTAACAATGCAAATGATTTGCAATAAGTTTAGCATTTCAACTAATACTGATAAAAATGATAACAATACTGTTAGAGAAGAAACATTTCTGGAAAATGTAATTAATCGTTATATTAATATAAAGTTGATTTTTTATTTTTTTTTAAAATTTGAAGATCATATTTGAAAATTTTATTTTCATCTATAATTTTTTCTAACAATTTAAAAAGTTCGTAACTCTAAAAGATTCTAACTTCTAAAGTTATTCCACTATAGACTTCCTGAATTCTTTCATAAAATTCATTAATGAGACATAAAATCACCATTGCAGGACATTTCCTCATTTATCGAATAGATTATTTCATTAGATTAAAGCTATTCTCTAAAAGTGGTTCATTGCCATGGAAACTAAAAATTGTCTTTTTCCTTCTATTTCATTCAATTATCCTAGGCATGAACCTTTTATAAAAAATTAAGAAAATTAAACCTTTTAAACCTTTTAATGGCGTGATATTCTTCTCTTCCTGTTCTCCTTAACTTCATTTTTTATTCCTTTTTTTTTTTTTTTTTTTTTTTTTTTTAGAAGATCGAAATTATAATTATTCACTAATTCAAGTTCAAATGATGACTGAGAGAGAGAGAGGGAGGGAGAGAAGGAAAGAGAGAAATACACTCAATTTAAACTTTTTCTCTTAATTCCATCATTCATTGTTGTATTCCTTTTCCGAATGTACATGCATTCGATATTTTGATATCGAAAATATAGAAAGTTGATAAGGTTAGCTTGTTCATTAGGTGATAATAACAGCTAATCAGTAATCCTTAAGCAATTGCATTTGAAATGAAACCACACAAATAATCAGTTTATCAACAAAACAAATCAAAAGTTTACTACAAATATTTTCATTTTGAATAACCAAATGTTTTCTCTCATTTCTTCTTCATCAAGAAATTGCCATTTATTGAAAAGAATGAAAAGTAAAAAATCAACTGATAAGTTATTCCTCATGTATGAAATATTTGTGGGCAGGAAATAGAGAATTAATATCATCAGGAAGATATCATATTATCAATCACAGAAATTTCAGAATGATAATATTCAAATTAAACTTTTCCAGTTATTTTATCATTTTGCTTATTCAAATATGGAATTAATATCATATGTAATCTTGCAACAAAAAAAAAAAAAAACTTGTGTTATTTTTATAAAACAGCAAACTATTTTGCTCTTTCATTCTCAGAATGTCAAAAAATCTGCGCTTGCGATCTATTTGATGCAGCTAATTATAAAGCTAAATTATTCTTATATTCATATTATTTTTCATAACAATTGTATCGACAAATGAAAGATAAATGAGTATTGAATTCTATTAGAGTATATCTACTACTGCTACTACAAAAAGGTACTAATTACAAATTAAACATTTATCAGCAATTATCACTTTGAAGCTAAACTTATTAAGAGAATAAATGAGTGATTAATGCTGGTTTTATTATGATTTTCAAATAAATATTATTCAAATATTATCCAATTTGAATGAGAAAAAATAAAGTATGTGAATTAGAATTATGATAATGTTAGCTAACATAAGATATGTTTTCTTGTTTTATTTGAAAGAAGCATATATGATAAGTTAATGAGATCATTTGTCTTTATAATTCATAAATATGGCTTAATGCTCACTTCATGTCAACATTTGCCAATTATTTATATTTCAACTAATGCAAATGACAATAGATAAGATATAAATAATTCAAATGATTTGATCACAAAATACAACAAAATCAGTTGTCAATCATTTGATCAAGAAATTAAGAAATTATTGATGGATGAATTATTTAATGTGTTTTATCAAATGAATGATACAATTTAAAATGAAAAGTGTTATCATAACCAAAAGAGAGCAATTATAAAAATTGATTCATTCTTTCACTTAAAAATTCAAATAAATTAAATTTGAAGTAAGTTTGAACTAATGATTTAAACTGATAGATTTAAAACGATTTGAAATAAATTTAATGAGCAATTGAAATAAATTAAAAGATGAAATGCTCAATTCTTATCGCTTTTCTTATTCTAAGCAAACACAACGTATGTTTCTCGAGACTTTGAGATATTTTGAAAAGAGAATTGCAGATCAAAATCTATGTTTCAATTTCTTAAATCATAACTATATCAAAAAACTGATTACAGCTATTGTTTAATGATTTATTATTATTAACTCAACTTCTGAATTCTGAAAATCATTGAACTTGAGAAGTCAGTTCAAAAAAAAATTTGGTAATAATAATAAAATAAAACACTTGATCATGTTAGATTACATATTAAATAGCCAATATTTTAATAACTAAATTCATCTGATCAAATATTGTAATGATAATAAGTAATTCATAGTAGTTGATTAATGATACAATGATTAATGATAATATGAGACTTAAAAAGTGTTGATAAGAAATTACACCTATAATAATGTTCAATGTACTCTTCAAAATATTTAGCTATTACAAGGTATTTCATAAAGAATTCATTTTCTAGAAGTTTCAGTCAACAACAAAATACTTCATAGCATTTCAATCTTTTTCACTACTGTTATCATGATTCAAATATTTTCAATTTAATTTATTAAAATTTCATGAAGACTAGTAGCAAGAAAGCACTTGTTTAAGTTAAAGTCCAAGGTAGAGGTAATTTGTACTTTAAATTAATTAACAGTAAAATTTTTATATCAGTCAATTGACGGCAAAAAAATCAATTCATAACATTTAAATCGAGAAAATAACATCCTTCAAAAAACAAAAATTAAAAGTAAAGAAACTGCATTGGTTCTTTTCTAAATCATTTCCTCAATTTAAAATTTTGGAATTGCATTTTTCTTTTTCTTTTTGAAAAATGCCAATTAATTTTTTAGTTTCGAGAGTGAATGCAAATTTGTTCATATTTCTATTTTCTTAGAATTATTAGTACATTTGATCATTTTACTTTTGGTTCCTTTAAAAGAGAAAGGATTAGAAAAATAATTATTTTTGAGCTATTTGGATGTAACAAATCATTCCAAAATACATTTATTAAATTTTTTATTTCCTGTCATATGCTTTCTTAAATCTTCGATGCAAATGCAAAATATTTGATTAAAACTATTGGTAAAAGTAAAAAGGAACAAAAAAAAAATTCAATTAAGTGATTAATTTCACTTCTGTTCCCTTTTTTTTCTAAAATTTCCATTGAAAAGTAATATTTCTGAGTGGTTTGAATGGGAAAAAAATAATCGGATGTTTCTAATTGTTTCTTTTAATTCAAAATTTTGCAATTCATTTCATGTTTACATTTTTTTTTCCTTTTTAAACAATTCTTCTGAGAAATTT